TATTTTCAGAACCAGGGATTGAACTCAGTCCCTTGCACTTGCCAGGGAAGTGCTTATTCTACTGAGCCATCTCCCCGGCCCCTAGAAGATAATTAATAGATAAAAAGGAAAATAAATCCATTAGCATCCAGTGAGTGAACTAAGGATAGTTTAAGGACTCTCAAAGTACAGAATCTAATTGTATTCAAGTAAAGTCTCCTAGGAAAGAAAGTTACACTACAAGCTTTTTCTGTTTTCAGTGTTTCAAATCAATAATTTAAAAATTAAATGTAAGTATTTTACAATGAATACAGCTCAGAGGAAAGTGCAACATTTTTTGAAAGTAGAGACGATGTTGTAAATGCATAGCAGAGAACAAATAATCTCAAGATTTGGGTGAACTTTGTGTTTTGTGCCATTAACAGAAACGGTGATATTAAGCCAAGAAGCAACTTAAAGTTGAGAAGTTGCTGGATATGTGGGACAAGGAAAGGTTTACAATGCCAGTGTTTTGAAGGTATGCAACTGGAGATTAATGGAATGAATTTTGAGTTAGTAATTGCAGAGAATCCATGGGTAAGTGGAAACTGGCATGTGGTTTAACACTGTCACTTTCCAAGCTCATGTATACCCGTTCTGCCTGTGTCACCTGGCATTTTTCAACAGGAATATGCAGGTATAGGCTCTACTTCCTCCTGTTTTGTAAAAATGGCAAATCGGCTATATCTATGTGATGCTAAAAGAGCCAACTGAAAAATAGAAAATTCAAATTAGCACAAAGCATAATTGGAGCACACATACATCCATTGTTTATTTTATTGCCTACTCCTTTTAAAATTTATTTATTTATTTATTTATTTATTTATTTATTTATTTATTGGATATAGGGTCTCACTACACAGTTCAGACTCACAGTGATCCTCCTGTCTCAGCCTCCCTAGCACTGGAATTACAGGCGTATACCACCACACCCAGTTTCAGGACCCACCCAGCACACCTGGGATTCCAGGGGTAGCACAGTACTGGGGATTGAAGTTGGATCTTTGCGCTTGCCAGGCAGGTGCTTAGACCACTTGGTACTCTTCTCCCTAGCCCGTTTGTTACTCTTGAGAGGAAATTAATTCACTTAAGTTATTTATCAGTGGTGTCTGACACGTAAATGTATTCAATGCATACATTTGATTGAAGATTATATACCTTATTTCAGATGATCTATAAAATGGAAGAGCACATTTTTATTTTCTTAATAATTAGTGAGTAAAGGTTTATTCATACAATGATGCAAGCATTTCCAACAGATGAGCAGAGGCTTTGAAGACAGCTCAACCTTCCTGTAGCATGTAATTGAACTGGCACCGAATCTGCCACTCAACTGCTCAGCCTTAGTTTATAAAATAAAAACAATAAAACCACCCTTGCTGAGTTCCAAGAATTGGGAAAGATACTGTAAGGTGTGGGGCACAATGCTACATGAATGGCTAAGGTGTACCTGTCTCTATAACATCTGTGTCCTACAGAGCCCAGATGGGCAACCCTTTTGGAGACAGGCTCCTCTGGAAATCTGTAAAGAGAGAACATGCTCTTCCTCTCTCGATCTCATCTCCAGCCAGCCAAATACATAGCCTACATTCTTCACATACACTGTTGGCAGGTTACAGATTGTGTGAAGCCAGGGTCCATGCCTCTATTAGGTGAAGAAGAGTTGAAGTATTTCTCCAGGAAAAGGAGAACCATGTACATGAAATGTCATGCTTTGGGGCTTGTAGGTAATCCTTCAAGGCAATCTTTTAGGTTTCTTTTACTTTAGTGGCATCCATATTTCCATCCTGTATTAGTTAGTGGGGGGAAATCAAGAATCCAAAAGTAACTATTAGAAAAAAATAGCATATTAGCTACATTTGAAAACATATTTTTCCATACTCAAGATCTTGGCTAATAAAATGTTCTCTTCTTTGACTTATACTGTAATTTATCCTCATTTTTGTTGCTTGATTCTGCCTGTAACTGTATTTCAGCACAGAATTTCCTATGGGAATTGAGACGAATGATTAGAAGAGAAAATGAACTGTGAATAATCCCACTGTTCCTTCACCCAGCATTCTCTTCCATGGAGTTCTAATGAGACTCACCATTGTCCAGTAAAGCCCGGCCGGCACATACATTTTAATTCAGCATGAAACTCTGTGCAGTTGCCTCCGTTGTAGCAAGTAAGATTTGCGCTCTCGTTCCCACAGACTGTTGAGGGTAATCTGTTGTGCCTAGAGAGATAAAAGTAGCATCCACAGCTGTTCATCTTGTTCATTTCATTCAACAAAACTTTTGAAAAGTTCACGTATGGAGTCTACGCCGAGCTAATTAAGTACTCAGGCTGCGCTGTGTTAGCCAAGGAACACTTTCTCCAGCAAGAGAGCCCGCACTGGAGGGTACTGGAGCGGGCATGGCTATCTATCTTCCATTCCACAGTTTTCATTGGTGAGATAAGATCTATGCCATCGGGTTGCAATAAATTTTGGGTTGGAAAAGAACTTGCTATAGGTAGCTTTGCTGTTGCTTTCCTCATAAATCAGCAAAGGCCACAGGAAAGCTACATCACTATAAAGGCCAGGAAAGCAAGGACGTGCTGTGGTACCCAAGCACTCATGTGATTTCTCTGATGGCTTTCAGAGCTGAACTCCAGTTGCCCTGCCAAGACTTCCTGCTCCCTCTGTCATAATTCATAGCTCCTTGGAATGCAAGCCAAGTGCAGTTCAGGAGGTTGGTCTATAACGCTGTGGTAAAAGCGTGTGAATTCTGCGTATGGCTCTCTGGTACAGTAACAAAGCCAAACGTGTTAAAGAATCCTTATAAATGGCAGAACAAATTGCAAAAAGCTAAGCAGAACCTCTTTGCTAGAAAAAACATGCTGTGTCTTGAAGGGATTGACATTGAAAAAGGTTTTAAGAATGTTGCTCAGGTACTTTGACTCACTGTATGTGTGCACGGTATCAGATATAGTATAGAAAAATTATTCAGGAAATTGAAAATTAATTTTATTTTGTTCTATTATGTGTGCTGCAGCTCATATAAAGAAACTAGACTAGATGATGTTAAGAGGGTCTCTTCTCACTAGAGCTAATCAATTCTACTTTTGAAAGAAAAAAAAAGAAAAAAGAGAACAGGGAAATTTCAAAGGAGTCAAAAGTGTCAACTAGATTTGAAAGACATCGACTTTCAAATGTGAAGCTTGGGTATATCTTAGGTTTCATAAATAGTTTCTGTATTTCATTAGAAGGTACTTTTAGAAATTTAGTCTTTGAGAACTTGACTTTGATGAACTAGGCAGAAAAACATGCCGGAGGACTAGCTATGCATTCGCATATCCTGAGTTATTACTACATGCCTCTGATTTTGAGTAAGAATTTCTCTTGCTTTTAATCAGACCCTTCATTTATTGGAAAACCAGTTGGTTAACTCACAGGAAGAAATATCTTGTGAAAAGTGACACAGCACAGCACCATAGACTTTGAATATAAATATTAAGAAGAAACATATAATTTTGTATGGGCATAGCTACATATTATATCTGTTAGGAGATTCATGTAATTAAGATACTAGCTCTGGACTAGTATAATATCTATAGTGTAGTATAGCCCACTCCAGGTACTCTTGACAAAGTCCTGGAATGTAGACCTTGTTAATAATGGCTCTCTCTCACCTTGCCATAAAGCTCAATTATTTAGTAAATTTAAAAGAGTGTAATTTGTAACAACAATGATTTCCACTTATGTAGAAATATTGAAGCAATATGACTTAGAAGGAAAATATTATTTTTTTCTCTTTTTATAGCTTGAAATCTAATACTGATCTTATAATTTCAGAAAAATAACACATAAAATATGTTGATATAGGCAAAATAAATGAGAAGATGTTCTTTCAGTGGAATGCTCGATGTCCTGAAAAGGATTTTCCAGTATTATTTGATTCTACAGCAGCATAACGCTGAGCAATATTATAACTCTGTAAATTGCAGAAATTGTTATTAACACAAATGATTCTTACTTATTAAAGTACAAATGAATGTGTATCAATGCAATTGATTGGCATAATACAGAAACAATGATATCAAACACTATTTTTCCTGTAAATTAAGAAGTTTTGAATTTATTACCAGATTCATTGCCTCATTATAATGCTTAGTTATAAAATGTCTCCCAAATATCTCAGGTATTTGGAGGTGAGGTCTGGTCTGTAGAGGTGGGTGTTTGGGTATGTGACCTGAAAGAACACATTCTAGTCCTTGGCTCTCTCTCTCTCTCTCTCTCTCTCTCTCTCTCTCTCTCTCTCTCTCTCTCTGTGTTTTCTTGCTGTCATGGGATAAGCAGCTTTTGTAGCATGCCATTTCTGCATAGAGCCAGCCAACTTTTGACTTAACCCACTAGAACCATAAGCCAAAATATCCTCTCTTCCTTTAAATTGCAAATATTTTGTTCCAGTGATAAGAAAGGACTAATAGGTTCATTTTTGTTATATATTTTTTCTTTGAATTGGTTTTTATATCATACTTGTCCCCTTAAGTGACAGCTAATAAAATTATGAAAACATGTTTGTTTTATATTTTTCTTGCAGTCATAATTTTTTCTTTTTGAAATGATATTGTAATATAGCCTTTTTCATTTTATGGATTTACCTGGCTGAAATAACTTAGAGTATTATTTTAGTAATAAAAGTCCTGCCTTCCCTAACAATACCAAAATTTAGATTTTTGCATTTATTATAAATATATTAGTTTCCTGAGGCCTTAGTCTGTCAGACTCAAAGCCCTAATTCATAAGACAGATCCTAGCAAAGATGATTGAAGAAACCTTATCTTTACAATCTGACTGAAATGCCTCATACTTGTAGGATATCTCAGCAAAACAAATCTTGTCTTTATACCATTGAAGTGTGATGGAAGTGACCAAAGCCATTCCTGTCTAATACATATGTATATGTACAATACATATGTATACCTCAGGGAGAGAGATGTCCAATTTGACAAAGAGAGTGTAAGTCCAACAACCAATCTTGGTATGAACTTTTATGCTCACCTGCACAACTTTCCTGTAAAGTTTCCCAAACAGAGGCAAGAATAGCCATTAGTATCACTAATGCAGGTGGCCCCATTTGCACACTGGTGACCCTGGCAATTGTCTATTTCTACTTCACAGTTCACACCGGTGTATCCAGGCTCACACCTGCAATGGTAGGCGCCGACCCTGTCAGAGCAGTTGCCATGGATACAGGGGTTGGAAAAGCAGTCATCAATATTGAATTCACAGAATATTCCTGACCATCCCAAGGGACATGAACAGTGATAAGAGTTATAGAGGTCTTCACAATTTCCTCCATGCAAGCAGGGGTTGGAGTTGCAGGCATTTAACTGCAGACAGCCAGTGTGCACTGAATTTGTAGAGATTTTGAGAAACTGCTCTTCCTGAGGTTTATTTGTGAAACCATGAACATTTTCAAAGTAAGAGAGATAAATGCCTGCAATTTCTATTGTACTCAGACACCCTTGAAATCCCCTCATGCTGTCAATAGATCGGTCACCCACATAAATGTCTGTGTTATCTTTCAAAAAGTTGAGGCTTCCAGTAGCAATTTCACTGGTGACAAAAGATGTTCGGTTGTCCACTTCCATCTGCCACCTCGAGGTCTGGGCTAGTGGATCCGTCATGGAAAGAGTCACTTGGTGCCACATGCCATCATTCACTGAGTACAAACTTGTCAAGTGCAGAATATAAACACTGTTGCCACTTTGCAACTGAAAAAGTAATCGGGAATCTTGAATGATGATATTAAGAAATGCAGACTTGTTTTCTGCATGAAGTATTAGCACATTAGCATCCCTTGTTCTGAAACCAAATGTGATATTAGTGAGCTCTCTGGTAATATTTCCATTGCTTCTGAAAACTGTTTCACCAGTTTGTCCTTTTAAAACAGCATTTCCAATACCTAAAGAGAGAAGGCAAAATTAATTACCAACTTATTAAATCTATGATGCTTACTTAATTACCTTTATTATTAACAATTGTCGTCTTGTTAATGACATCATATATTGATTGATACACACTATAGTTGTTTTATATTATATCTAGTACAGAATCTTGAACATAGGTATTAATATTAGCCTCCATTTCTGAAAGAAAAATTGACTCAAAGAAGCTAAGTGATTGTTCATATTGTAAAAAAATAATAATAAAGCTGAATGTTAAATGTAGATGATCTGATACCAAAATCCAAACAACACATTTTTTATTGGAAGCCAAAGGCATAATTTTTATTTTTTGTTTGTTTCAATAACTAAGGCATTAATTATCCATTTTTTCTACAGAGAAACTCAACACAAAGAAATCACAAATCTAGCTATTGTGACACAGCAAGTTAACAGTACAATCTGGCTTCTGATTAAGCTGACCAGCAGGCAGTTAGAAGCAGCATTCCAAGTAACTGATTTACTTACCTGGTGGAACTCCAATTATATGCCAAGCTACCATCTGTCTACCTATAACCAAGTAGCTTTGTGTGATTGGGAAAAAAAATATAAAGCCATGTCAATTGTTCTCCTTTTATATCCACATATTGCGTGGGAGCACAGTACTTTTGGGCAATCTTGCTGCATTTCTCCATTAAAAGTGTTTTTCTCATTCTACAAGATCATAAATTCACAGCTTGTTTTGTCCTTTGAAATATTTAACCCCATCTTGGGCTAACATTTCCTGTATACATTCTTTTTTTTTTTTTAATTATTTTACTTTTTTTAATTTTTTTTTTAACATTTATTTAGTGTGTGTGTGTGTGTGTGTGTGTGTGTGTGTGGCCAGCTCAGCCCACCAGGGGGCGCGGCTGGCTGGCATGTGGTGCTGGGGGATCAAACCGCGGTCCCTGTGCTTTTCCAAGGTTGTTCCAAGTAGGTGCTTTAGACCATTGCGCCATCTCTCCAGCCCCTATAAGGATTTTTTTTTTTTTTCTCCTTGAATGCCTTCAGGGCACTTTGGCATGGCTGGAGTGTTGTGGGGATTGAACTACAGCAAACTGAGGCTGCCAGCATTGTGGAAGCAGCCACTTAAAGAACTGAGCTAGGGCTGGGCCCCCGTCCTGTATACATTCTTGAGAAGAAAAGAGAAATAAGAACAGCTAGATTTCAACAAAATCTGGAGACCTAACAATGTCAGGATCTTCCCTGAGTCCATCCTGTAATAATGACTGCACTGTCTTTATTCATGTCGAGGTCACCCTCTTGGTCATGTGTTGTGCTCATTCGTTTTCACTCCTTTTAGGCATGCTTCTTCCTTTTTTAATATACGTGGTACAGGGTCTCACAGGGTCTCCGCAGCTCGGACTTGTAGTGATCCTCCGGTCTCAGCCTCCCCAGTGCTGGGATTACAGGCACGCACCACCATGCCTGGTCTTGGTAGCTGGCTCAGTGTGCCTGGGGGTGGGGCAGGCAAGGCACGTGGTGCTGGGGATTGAACCCCAGTCCCTGTGCTTGCCTAAGCAGGAACTAAGTCTGCTGAGCTATCATTACTGTTGTATGCCTCTTTTTTCTTTGTTCAACATTTTCCTTCCCTTTCTGTTTTTTCCTATAAATGTACAAATACTTTATAGTTCTAATCTTGAAAAAGTCATACACATACAAGATCCCAAAGCACTCATTGACATGCCCTCTACCCTGTTGCTTTTTTTCTCTACTCTCTCTTATTTAAACTTCTAATAGTTTTATATTCTCACTCTTCGCTTTCTCATTTCCTGTTTTCTTTTGAATGCCAGCCACTCAGGATCTTGTTCCAATCACTTCACTGCAACCCTTTCTCAGGTCACAGCGCTCTCTGTGCTACCTAGCCAGAGGTCAGCTCACTACTTTCGTTTTTTTCCATCTTAAGTAGTAATTGACCTAAAAACACTATTATTTCACCTTGCCTTTTAGGCACTACAGCCGGCAACTGTCATCTTTCATATAGACTAATTACTTCCTAATGTTCCTACTTCTCTGGCTATGAGGATGACTGTAATGACTCTCCTCAGCTGAGGACTTTCATTAGCATACCATGTAGAGAAAGAAATTCAGAACAACACCCATAGAGTTTATGTGACCTGAGCTCTCTGGTTCTAATTCCTACCAGTCTTCTTCTTTCACATATTACAGCCACAGAACATTTTGCCATTCACTGAAGACCACAGAGTTGTTCCGGCTGGGGGTTTTAAATTCACTGTTACTTAAACCTAGAATATTCCATGCTATTCTACCTCTGACTTCTTCACTGTGTCAGTATCTGTTCAGTGTCACTTCTCTGAGAGGCTTTCCCTAACAGTCCAAGTTAAAATAACTTCCTTCCTGCATCCACAATCTATGCCATCACTACTACTATTTTAACAGATTCTGTTAGCATTTGAAATTATATTGTCCGTTTACTGTTCTTTGACTGTCTTTTTGCACTAGAGTATGAACTCTAGGAGAACAGTTATTCTTTGTGTAGGATTTCACTCAGTCTTCATGTATAAAATAGTGCCTGAAATCTAATAGATACTCAATAAGCATTGCTAGATAAGTAATCTATAAAAAGAACTTCATGCTTTAATTTTTTTTTTATATTTATATACATATATTTTTTTATTTTAGTGCAAGGTCTACAGGATCTCACTACTACATCAGACTCACAGTGATTCTGTTTTCAGCCTCCCAAGCGCTGGGATTATAGGTGTGCGCCACCCCGCCCAGTCTCAATTGCTGTTTCAGTGTGCCCCAGGGGCGTAAGCATGCCCTTTAATCCGCTGAGTTTTCTGACTGCCCAGAGAGCCTCTCTTTAGGAAGTGTCTTTTTTGTTTTTGTCTTTTTGAGACAGGGTCTTGCTACATGGGCCAAGCTGGCCTCTAACTTGAGGGAATCTTCCTGCCTCAGCCTCCCAAGTGCTGGGATTACAGACATACACTACCATGCCTCCCTCCCCCCCGCCTGGGAGGTGCCTTAGATCAGTTCCTTTGAATATGATAATTCTTCTGTTTTGAAGGCAAGTATTTACCTTTGTTAGCAATTAGTTATTAGAAGCCATGGATAGTAAGATCAAAGATCTTGATATACTAGATCAAAACCAAATATACTTGGATCAAAAACATTGGCAATGGGGCCAGCCAAATAGCTCAGCAGATTAAAGCACCTGCTTAGGCAGAGTGCAGTGGCCTGGGTTCGATGTTTGAGTTGTCAAAGTAAGTTCTAGAAATGCTAAAAGAAAAAAACAAAATAACCAAAAGAGTTTAAGGCTCTTTTGAAAATCAGATGAAAATTCTGGATTCTTTCCCCAAAGAAAGTATTGTTTCCCCACCTTTAAGACCAACTGCAAATAGCACTAGAAAGATAGGAGTATGCTGAAGCCCATCTATGGAGACCGGCTCAGACTCCATGAACAAAGACCTTCATTTGTCTTTCCTTTTCCCTATTGCAACCAACAGAAAAACAAAGCAAAACAACACCTCATTTTCTACTATGACCCAATTTGCGTGTGCACGCATACACACACACATACACACTCAAAATAGTAAGTTCAGAAATCGATTCTCGGGGCGGGGAGATAGCTCAGTAGAATAAGTGCTTTCCTGGCAAGCATAAGGACCTGAGTTCAATCCCTTAATGTTAGAAAACCATAAGTCGTTCTCGTGCAAGGTGGCAAGGTAGACAGATGTAAGAAGTCCAACCCCAAGGGCAGTGCTCCCACCAACTGTAAATGACAGGATCTTCCAAAATCTTCTGCTGCTGCCACCAGATGGTAATTTATTTTCCAACTTCCCATTTTCTTCTTGTGCTGGAAAGTCCTCAGAAACCTCTGTGGTTTTTATCTCTCTTCTCTGCCGTATGTACATCATGATGTCAAAGACTTACATGCATTGTTCTTCCAACCACACCTGCGGCCTCAGCAGTCCTCACGAGCAGCTCTGGGCGGGGAAAGGACAGCCGGGCCAGGAGGCGTTGAGAACTGCGGGGGCGGGGCCGCACTCGGCCCGCAGCACGCGGCGGGGGAAGGAAGGACCAGGCTGCGGCGGAGCTATATGCAACACCTTGCGATGGGGGGCTTAGGGGGCGTCTACCTTTAATTTGACAAGTGAAGTAATGATTAGAAACTATATCAATTAAAAATTTAAACGTATCATTGAAATATTACAATTTGAAGTGAATTATGTGAGTAGGTTAAATCTCATTTGATTATATTATTTTCGATTGTTGTGTTTTTCCACCAGGTTTGGGGATAAATAGAAAAGAGAGAAAAAGAAACAAGTGTCTCATTATTATGCATTTTTAAATAAGTATTTCAAAGGACAGCTTACATTATCTTTCTAACCTGTAAAGAAAGAAGTCTATCTGCAATGCTATATGACTTTATTTCACCAACTCTGCTGAAAACATCAGAATTACTTTTTTGTGATCTGATTAAAAACAACAATGCACACAATATTTATCCTTCACCTTATTTTCAGGAGTTTTTCGACAATAAACATACCCATATCTAAAGCAAATTTTAAATGTTGGGTTATTTTGAAGAAATATAAGTCAATTTATTCATTTGGCAAATATTTATCAGCAATTTAAACTACATTTTCCACTAATGAAAACATAGACACACAAAATACATGTAACAAAATATTAGAGAATGGTAAGAGAGATAAAGAAAAACCCTATAGGGGGACATTGGGCCTGAAATTTGAATGAAGGGATGAAGGGAATCTCTGAAGCTCTGGTTTAAGAGAGTTGAAGGTGAGGGTAGTGATAGTTTGTTGGAAGCTGATTAGAGGGGTGAAGAAGTGAATAAAATATTAGACTCTATTGAAAACAATTTTTGTAATTCTCTATAAAAGAAAGCAGAGAAATTGGAAGACAGCAGGTGGGAATGGGGTGAGGGAGATAGAGGAAAACCTTTTGTTATGAGGAAATTTCATGTATGTTCAGATGATAATGAAAAAGTTGACTTTGGAAAGTGAGAGCAAATCTTTTTTTTTTTTTCTCTCTCTCTTTATTTATTTAGTGTGTGTGTGTGTGTGTGTGTGTGTGTGTGTGTGTG